CCTGTTAGGAGTGTATCTCACACATAAGTACATGCAAACATGAGAAAATCCAAAAAGTGCAAGGATATTGTAGCACTGCTCACAGTGGCATAAACATGAACTGAAGCAAAACTGAAACGAAAATAAGAGGTAAACAAAAGTCCCGTAAACAGAAAAGACCCATTAAATGACGTGAGTCAGTGAAATATCATTCAGGTATCTGAAGGGAAGAGACAAGTTCTGCCACTGAAATGCATACCCTCTTTAACCCAGACGGTTGAGGATATCCATACATATGTGTTACTCTTTCTGGTTAAGAATAAACCAGAGACTACTCATAGCTGTTTCTAGACAGACCTGGGACGGGATGAGGAGGAGATTCTGACTTTTATTTTATGTCCCCTCGACTTCTTCCACGTGCATATACTATTTTTTTTATATAAATCTACAGCATAACAATTACCAGGGAAAGTTCCAACTGTGCCATACGGCAAGAAAAATTTCTATCACCTTAAAACTCGGAGAAACAAAATGGGACTGGATGCTCTCTGAATGGTTCTTCCCAAATGAATAGGACATAAAATAAACAAATTGATAATTACACACTTATTTTAAGCAAATAAATAACAACCTCAATGACTCTGTTAAGTCTGCATGTTCTGGTAGACAAGAGAAACACCCTAAGGATATAGGCTCCCTACTTACCGTCCGTTGACAACCTGCTCATCATACCTGAAGAAGAAGATATACCACATGGTATGCAAGTACAAGACAAAGAAATATTCCTAATTAATGGATTTTTCCAACTCAACAGATGTAACAACCTCTCTTCTTTGGGAAGTATGGCTACGGTGGCTCAGGCATGATTTAGGGTGTCCCCCAATACCCACCACTGTCCCTTTTCCCCATCTTCACTAGCCTGCATGTCTAATATAATCTGTTTATTTGCGTCTCTTCTCTACCAGCGTCTGAGTTTCTCAAGGACAAGCATCTCTGATCCATCTCTGGGTTCCCATCACCCAAGGATGGGTCCAGGCTCATAGTGGATGCTCAGAAATTCATGCTCAAGGTTCGCCCACCAAAGTTCACAGTCCAAAGCCATCACGCATGTGGCATGGTATTTACCTAGGATTCCTGGCAGCAGCCCATGCAGAAGAGGAGTTGGCAGCCAAGGTCACAGACACGGTACAGAATGGCGGGATCGCAGAGATGGCACCACAGACCAAACATAAGATGAGATACTGAGGGTCAGGAACAGGCTGGGGAGCAGGGTCAACCATGGGTCGTGGTGGGCGGGTAGAGGCTGAGACCCAGACCTCTGTGAGATGCTGGAGTCTCTTCATTTGATTTTGGAGGGAGCTTCAGTGAGCTGGGGAGGGGAGAGACCATTCCCCCACCATGGTAGGAAGAGATGGGGGAACAAGCCGTTACTGACTCCAGAAGGAAGTGCCCAGTCTTTACTTCCGGTGACTTCATGCCACCCCCCCCCTCAGATCAGACCGTTGGCCCCATGTTGCCTGTGAAGATCGCTCAGGAGAAATCATGGGACTTTTGACACCTCATGCAGCTGGTAAGTGAGTGCAAGAATTCAACCTCAGGAGCTCTCCGACCTCCTCTGTAAACCCCTACATCCTCATCTGCAAAATGGGGATGTTAACACCCATAGTGGGGTTGGGGTGAGGTTTCCTACATACCAAGGACTTCTGCTGTTTGTTGGGGGAGGCTTCTGTATTCTGTATTCACAAAACCACCCTCCATATCACTTAAAGTAATCAGGTAGTAACTTGTCGTCAAGAGTATTGGCATGGGAGTTGAATGTGACATCCTGGTTATATGTATTACTAACTGGGTGATCCTGGGCCGCTCACTGAACTCACAATGCCTCTGCAAAATGCAGATATTATGTCCCCTTTGGAGCTGTGGCAACAATGAAGGAAGAATGCATAAAGAGGGGTCATGGAACTTAACATAATTCCTGGCCCAAGGCATGTTAGAAATAGTAATATGTTGTAAGTGATAATAATAATTGCATTTGTATTTAGAGATGATTGTGTGTGTGTGTGTGTGTGTGTGTGTGTGTGTGTGTGTGGTTGGGAGAGGGGAGGAAGGGATATGGTATTTTGTTTTCAAGATATTCTATCTAGGGGGCGCCTGGGTGGCTCAGTCGGTTAAGCATCCGACTTTGGCTCAGGTCATGATCTCACGGTTCATGGGTTCGAGCCCCACGTCGGGCTCTGTGCTGACAGCTCAGAGCCTGGAGCCTGTTTCAGATTCTGTGTCTTCCTCTCTCTCTGCCCCTCCCCCACTTGCACTCTGTCTCTCTCTGTCTCAAAAAATAAATAAACATTAAAAAAAAAAAAGATATTCTATCTAGTACTGGAGTTGTTATGTTTCTAGATTGGGAGCTGGGCTGCAGCCAGGAGAAGAAAGACAGCAGAAATTACCCTCCCTCTGACACAGGCAATCAAACCGAACTGAGAGAGCTGGAACAAGTCTTACCTTTCAGCACTGTTGATGTTCAAGCAGCGGGAAGGAGAGGTCCGATGGTGGCCGGCAGGGGTCATTTTCCCAATAAAGTTTCAGAGAGAATACGAAATCAATCAAGTCGTCCTGTGTACCTCATGGCACCCCATAGGTCCCAAGATGGGATAAGGAACCAGAAAGAGAAGCTGTGACCCATTCTAAGAGTCCTGGACCCCTTTGGAGACACATTTACCCCAAAGTCAAAACCCCCCAGGGATCCCAGCTGCCTGGGGCATCCAAATTCTCCCCCTCCATCTGAGTTTTGGGAGGTTGGCCAAAGGAACCAATTATCATCCCCAGTTTTCAACTGGAGACCAGGAGTGTTAATACTTGGAAAAGAGGGAAGCCTGGCCACCCTACACCATATTTTTCTTGTCTAAAACCCACCAAATGAAAACATGCAATCCAGCCCAATTCGGTTGTACTTTTTGGAGCATGTCACTGCTCCTACTGAAAATCTGATCAAATCTATGAATTCCATATTCCCAGAAAACCACACCAGTTCCCTGCCCTCTTTCTCTCTCTCTCTCTCTCTCTCTCTCTCTCTCTCTCTCACACACACACACTCAGTTTTATGCAAGATTACAAAGGCTCTCTGAAGTCCATCTATTTGCCCCCTTGGATATGCAGATTCTGGGTTTGGAGCTTGAGTTGGGACCAAGAGCATCTCCCAGAATCTGCCTTGGTTGAATGTGGTGGTCAGAACTTTTGTCTGTTCCTTTCGCCCCCTTCTCTGGGTTGAAGGGCTCCCTAGTGAGGTAGGGAGAAGGAGATGGGACTTACTTACGTTTGACTAGAAAGGCAACAGAACCAGGAATCGGTGAATTGACATGGAAAATAAAAGCAAGGGAGAGAATAGGGTTAATGCTAACATTAATTATCTCAGTTAATTTATTTATTCCTTCTTGGAGCATTTATCTGCCTTTACCACTTAGAGTTATGCCCTGCCCCCAAGACAAAGCCTGTGTGGCAGACCCGAGTCCCACCTTTCCCCAGAATTCCCTGAGGGGTCTTGACATCAGAAGGAATCTGAGAGGAGTTAGTTAGCTGTGGGAATACAAACTTGGGGGTTCACACAGTTCTTACTTTTTTCTTCAATGGCCACTGGATGCAGAAGGGTCAGCCATCCGGATGCCAACAGGAGCAGGAAGCAGGGAGAGAATTTGGTGTTAGATCACTGTCATGATCAAGAAGACAGATAACCCAACCACTACTCAGGTCTACCCACCATCCATCCATCATTCACCCAACCAACACTTATTTGGCACAGACTCTGACCACTGCCATATGCCTGGTGTTGGTGATGTGGGTGACTCAGACTCAGCCCCTGCCCTGTAGGCATTTGCGGTACCGCCTGGGGAGAGAGGTGTTGGTCCAGAGTTAACAAGATATCTCAAGCCCTGCTCTCACAGAACTCATGACCTATGGATTTCTTTTTTTTTTTTTTAACGTTTATTTTATTTTTGAGACAGAGAGAGACAGAGCATGAACGGGGGAGGGCCAGAGAGAGAGGGAGACACAGAATCTGAAACAGGCTCCAGGCTCCGAGCCATCAGCACAGAGCCCGACGCAGGGCTCGAACTCACGGACCGCGAGATCATGACCTGAGTTGAAGTCGGACGCTTAACCAACTGAGCCACCCAGGCGCCCTGTGGATTTCTTGAACTTCCTACGGACTCTTCCAACATAGCGTGTCCCAAAGAGAACTTGTGGTCATCACCCTCCCGCCCATCAAAAAGTGATGTTATTTTTTGTTAATTAAATATCCATGTGTTCACAATGATATAAGTAACTACTCGAATAAATAATGAGAACATATGGGTCAGCTCTTTCTTACACAAGAATTCCAATTAATACATGTAGAAGGAATACCGGAAATAGAAAATCAGCACAGAGCAACTACCACCATGATCATTTTTGCAGGCAAGATCCACAGGTGGATGCTATAATTGGTGGACAAATGTTTGAGGAGAAACAGGATATTGTGCATAGTCTCCCACTATCCCCACCCCCCACGATGTTCATTAATTACAATGAGGGAAATAGTTACTGGACTGTGGAGAACCCTGGCAGACACCACCTCAACCAAGTGATCAAGGTTAACATTGCAGGTAATGACACACATCAACGTCCTTGAAGAAATGCACACAGAAGGGCATAGCACCACTTCTGGGACTTTCCTGCCCAAACTGCATAACCTCAATGTGATCGTGAGATAACCTCGGACAAGCTCAGAATGGGACATTCTTCAGAGTGTCTGACCAAGACTCTTCTTGGGAAGGGTCAAGGTCATGAAAGATTGGCCAAGTCAGCCACGAGTTCTAAGGACTAAAGGCGAGATTGGGAAGACGTCATGACTTGGTGAGATGTGGGCTCCTGGACTGGATCCTCACTTGTGGGCAAACTAGTGAAATTTGAATAGAGTCTGTAATTTAGGTAGTAGTTTTGCAGTGGTGTTGAGCTCCTGGCTTTGATCACTATACTAGGTTGGGTAAGATGGTAACATTAAGGGAGGTTGGGAGAAGGCTGTTTAGGAACTCTAGTTGTGTGACTTTTCTGTACGTCTAAAATTACTTCAAAATAAAGTTTAAAAAATCAGTTGTAGGGGCACCTGGGTGGCTCAGTTGGTTGAGCATCTGACTTCGGCTCAGGTCATGATCTCACGGCTCGTGGGTTTGAGCCCCACGTCGGGCTCTGTGTTGACAGCTCAGAGCCTGGAGCCTGCTTCCAATTCTGTGTCTCCCTCTCTCTTTCTCTCTGCCTTTCCCTTGCTCATGCTCTGTCTGTCTCTCTCTCTCTCTCTCTCTCTCTCTCTCTCAAGAATAAATAAAACATTAGAAACAATCAGTTGTGGTACATCTTGGTTACGGGTAGCCTCAATTATCCAACTGCAAAACTGAATGAATGAATGCACGAACGAACGAACGAACGAATGAACGAATGAATGAAATTATTGGAGTCTTTCTTCTCTCTTTCCCTAGCCTCCAGCCTCATCTATCATTCAGTCTTATATACCCTTGCTCCTAGATACCTCCGACTCCTTCACCTCCACCCTGAGGATTGCAACCATCTCCTACCTGGTGTCCTTGCTTCTGTTCTGGTTCCCGACCAATCTGTTCTTCAGGACCAACACTGATCATTTAAACACACACACACACACACACACACACCTAAATATGACATTCCCTTTCTGAAAGACTTTCAGCAGTTTCCTGTGGCACTTATAATATCCACATCCCTGATCTGACTCACAAGACCCTATGTGTGCTAGTTTCTGCCTTCTCTCCACTCTTATGTGTAACAATCCCCACCCACCATGCACCTCTCCCTGTCCACCTTGCTCCAGACACACTGGCTTCTCTTACTTAGATCCAGGAATAGACCCAGTGTCCTCCTGCCCTAGGATCTTTGCATGTGCCAATTCCCCCACCCTGAACCATCTCCCTAACTCTGATGTTAGCTCCCACCCACCATCAGCGTCTTGCCTCAAATGTCACTTATCCAAAGAGGACTTCTCCCAGTGGCCACACTGTGATGTGCTTATTCGTGTAACATGCAAATTCCATGAAGATGAGACTATGTCTGTCTTTTTCACCCACTGCGTTCCCAGCATTGAGCACAGGGAACGAACCAGGAACTCAATGAATATTTGCCGGACAAATGAGGCAATAGGAACTCAGCTTTGTGACAAGACTCTCAAGTCCTCTTTCTAACATATGGTGTCTTTATATTGTAAAGATCTGGGGTCTTGGTGCACCTGGGTAGCTCAGTCGATTAAGCGTCCAACTTTGGCTCAGGTGGTGATCTCACATTTCGTGGGTTTGAGCTCTGCACTGGGGATGTAAGGGCAGAGCCTTCTTGGGATTC